TACCACCCGCCCTCGCGTCGAGTCTTCGCCTCCCAGGACGTCACCTTTGACGAGTCTGTCTGCTTCTACCAGCTGCACCCGCACGCGTCCCCCTTGCACCCCTCTTCCTGGTACCAGTCCCCCCCCCCCGGTAGACCCCCTCCCCCCACAGGGTCCTGCTCCCTCAGGTGTGTCTCAGATCGACCCACCCCCCTTGGATGAGCCAGTGGAGGTCTCTTCTGACTCCTCTGGCCCAGCTGAGGGGGGTGACCCAGTTGCGGACGACACGGCGGCCACTCGCCGCTCTCCACGCTTGGAGACCCCCCCGGGTTTTCCGCCTCGACCGTCTTCGCCGCCTCCGCAGCCTGCTGCTGTGGACACTGGAGCTGAGACTACAGGTGCTGAGACTGGGGGTGCTGAGACAGAGGGTGAGGGTTCTGGGGGTGCTGTGCCTGGGGGTGCTAGTTTTGGGGGTGCTGTGACTGGGGGTGCTGTTTCTGGGGGTTCTGCGACTGGGGGTGCTGACTCTTGGGGTGTTGCGAGTCCTAGTGGCGGTGTAGTTGTGGGTGACCCTGTTGGAGGTCCTGGAGCTGGAGGTACTAGAGGTGCTGCTGGTACTGGAGGTACTGGAGCTACTAGGCCTGGAGGTACTGCTGGAGGTTCTAGAGGTGCTACTGGTGCTGGAGGTACTGAACCTGCTAGGCCTGGAGGTACTGGAGGTGCTACTGGTGCTGGAGGTGCTGCTGGTGTTGGAGGTACTGGAGCTGCTGCTGGTGCTGGAGGTACTGGAGCTGCTAGTACTGGAGGTACTAAAGCTGCTGGTGCTGGAGGTACTGCTGGTACTGGAGGTGCTGGGGGTACTGGAGCTGCTGGTACAGGAGGTGCTGGTGCTATTGGTGCTGGAGCTGCGGGAGCTGCTGGTCCTGGAGGTGCTCGTACTAGAGGTACTGGAGCTGCCGGAGCAGGTGGTGCTGCTGGTGCTGGAGGTACTGCTGGTGCTGGAGGCACTGGAGCTGGAGCTGGAGGTACTAGAGGTGCTGGAGCTGCTAGTCCTGGAGGTTCTCGTACTAGAGGTGCTGGAGCTGCCGGAGCAGGTGGTACTACTAGTGCTTGAGGTGTTGGAGGTGCTACTGGAGCTGCTGGCACTGGAGGTGCTGGAGGCACTGCTGATGCTAGAGGTGCTGGCGCTGCCGGAGCTCGTGGTGCTGCTGGTGCTGGAGGTGCTGGAGGTGCTGGTGCTACTGGTGCTGGAGGTGCTGCTGGGAGTGCTGGTGGAGCTGCTCGTGCTGGAGGTACGGGAGCTGCTGGTGCTCTTCGCCACCTTCTCAGTATTCCGCCAGGTGCTACTGACTTCCCTGTGGCAGGTACTACTCCTCCGTTACTGTTTCCACCGGCAGACCAGTCACAGCCGCAGCTGCTACCGCACTACCCACTGCCTGCTCCTGCACCCTACACTGTGGTGACACAGTCCCTGACTGATCGTCGAGAGCCTGAGACTCGTGCTTCCACCCCTGAGCGTCGAGAGCCTGAGTCCAGCTTTGACCTTGAGCCCGAGCCTAGAGCTGCTGTCCGTGCTCGTGTTCCTTGTGTTCGTCGTCAGCGTGCTCCGGCTGTCCAAGGCACTCACGATGTGACACTCCGTCCTTCCTCTGTTCCACAACGTGTTGTCCTGTCGTTACCTCCTGCGTCCTCTCTTCCTGACGTTGCTGACCCTCCGTCTGAACTTGCTCGTGCGTCCAGTCCGACTGTTACTCGCTTTCTTGCTATGGTGGTGACCGACCCTTCGTTCTCGTCTCCTGGTGCGTCTGCCATAGTCGCTGAGCTCGTTGACTTTGCTGCTGTGTACCGCCTAGACTACCTTGCGAGTCTTGTTTCTGACCCTGTCCCTGCCTGTCCTCCGTCCGTCGGGGGTGAGACTGCCCTTGGCTGTACTGCCCTTGGCTGTGACGTTCTTGAGGACAGACAGGAGGACCAAGAGTGCCTTGCGGCCGCTGCACCCCATATCGCGACCATGCTGCTTGCCCCTGAGGGAGACCCGGATGCACTTGAAATCCCCACCCCGCGCTCTTACAGACAGGCGATTTCGGGTGAGTACTCCTCTTAGTGGCAGACAGCCATGGACGCAGAGATGGCTTCCTGGAAGTCCACAGGCACCTACATCGACGAGGTTCCCCCACCTGGGGCGAACATCGTCAGTGGCATGTGGATTTTTAGGATGAAGCGGTCGCCGGGTTCTCCGCCTGCCTTCAAGGCACGTTACGTTGCTCGAGGTTTTAGTCAGCGTGCGGGGGTCGACTTCTTTCAGACCTTCTCCCCCTCCCCAAAGATGACCACTCTTCGGGTGTTGCTACACGTTGCAGCTCAGCGTGACTAGAAGCTGCACTCCCTCGACTTCTCGACAGCTTTCTTGCAGGGTAGCCTTCACGAGGCTATCTGGTTGCGCCGTCCAGAGGGCTTCACTGGGTCGTTTCCTGAGGGTACCCAGTGGAGCCTACGGCGACCAGTGTACGGCCTGCGTCAGGCACCCCGCGAGTGGCACGTCACACTGAGGACGACACTTGCGGCTCTTGGGTTTGCTCCTTCGACTGCTGACCCGTCGCTGTTTCTACGCACCGACACTATTCTGTCGGCGTTCTACATCCTCGTGTACGTCGACGACTTGGTTTTTGCTACTGCTGACACTGAGGCACTGGCCCTAGTGAAGGCGGAGCTGCAGGAGAGGCACACCTCCACTGACCTGGGTGAGCTGCGGAGCTATCTTGGCTTGCAGATCACCCGGGACAGACCACGGCGCACCATCACCCTCACTCAGTCACACATGGTGCAGCAGGTCCTTCAGCGCTTCCGCTTCACGTGGTCCTCGCCACATCCCACTCCTCTGTCTACCGGCCACTCGCTCTCAGCTCCACCTTCGGACGAGTCCGTAGAGCCGAGTGGTCCGTACCCAGAGCTTGTGGGTTGCCTCATGTACCTGATGACGTGCACACGACCTGACCTCGCGTACCCTCTCAGCCTCCTGGCTCGCTACGTGGCACCCGGTAGACACCGAAAGGTGCACTTTGATGCTGCGAAGAGGGTACTGCGTTACTTGTGCAGTACATCGGGCATGGGGCTCGTGCTTGGAGGACGGAGTTCAGTGGTACTCACTGGACACTCTGACGCTTCTTGGGCCGACGACCAGGCGACTCAGCGTTCGTCACAGGGTTACACCTTCAGTCTTGGCGCTGGTTTTGTCTCGTGGAGGTCCACTCGTTCTTCTTCTGTGCTTGGTTCCAGCTGTGAGGCCGAGATCTACGCTGGGGCCATGGCTGCACAAGAGCTACGCTGACTGACCTACCTGATGACCGACTTGGGGGAGCGGCCTCGTTCTCCTCCAGTTCTGTACGTCGACAACAAGGCAATGCTTGCCTTGTGTCGCGAGCAGAGACTGGAGCACAGAACGAAGCACATTGCTCTTCGCTACTTCCTTGCGCGTGAGCTGCAGCAGCGTGGTCAGCTGCGCCTTGCTTATGTGGTCTCTCGGGCCAACATTGCTGATGTCTTCACCAAGGCCCTTGGGTCTGGTGATCATCAGCGTTTCTGCACTGCTCTTGGGCTTGTGCCCACTCTGCCTCACCTGCTGGCTGCTTGACTTGCTCTTGTTGTACACTGATATATATATTATATCTGCATGTTTACTCTTGCTAGGTTGTGATCAGTGTACTGCCTTGCTATTATAACTCTGCATGTGAACTGGCCTTGTGGCCGCTTGCTTGTGCTCAGATTGTGTGGTTTCCTTGAGATCCACCCTGAGCTTTGCTTTTCTTTGTTCTCCTGCTTGACTGGTCTTGTGACCGTCTGTTGTGTTTGCTATCTCCCACTTAGCCTATGGGGGTGTGTCTGTCAGAATCCCAACCACTAGACCATTGGGATAAAATGGCTTGTTTCAGTAGCGGGTCAGTGCGCCTATAACCCCCCAGGCTAACATACATGTAACTCCCCCAAGGATCAATCGGGCATCCACAGTGCAGATCTACTGACACCCCCCCACACTGGGAGGCCCAGGACTGAGCACAGCGGCAACCGCCTGCATGTGCATACACCGGGATTCGAACCCGAGACCGCTCTGATACCATGTCGGAATCCCAACCACTAGATCATTGGGATAAAAGGGCTTGTTTCAGAAGCGGGTCAGTGCGCCCATAACCCCCCAGGCTAACATGCCTGTAACCCCCCCAAGGATCAATCGGGCATCCACAGTGCAGATCTACTGACAGTGTCAAACATATGTTTGTGTTATTTCTATGCTATAGTGGGTTAGCCTACAAGGGGTACAACACTCTAGGGTTAGGACTACATGTACTGCACTTCCTTCTCAATACAATCATTCCTGCCTGCTTATTCTAACACAATTTACACACATATTTCGGTTATCACCACCACAACAAGACTGGCACTTTCGCCATAACAAACGGAATGCAAAATCTAGTTATTTGATGAGAAGGGCTCAGCCAATCCGAAGCGGTTCGTGCCTTTTTTTTATGTAGCAAAAGTGCTAGCCGGGATCTTGTTCGCTACATGCCAATAAATCAATCTTCAGAATACAGCTGGATGCACTGTTAGAGAGTGTAGAGAAGAATGACAGTGAGAGTGTAGCCAGCAAAGAAGGAAACGCAGCACACAAAGTCGATTCTAGCTGCAAGAAGATAGTTGCCTGACTTTGCATGCTCTTCGTCAACGGGCTTGAGGTGGTATCCAAAGAGGCTGAATTTCTGTACAGCATAGAAGCAGGACAAGTACAGTACTACAAACAAGAGTTCACAACAAAGCAGCACCCAAGTTCCAAAAGAACGGAGAATACGATTGACAGAAATACTCGACACGAGGCACGAGTGAAATGCACAACACACAACTTGGACCACCAAATGCACGTGGCGTGACCATGCCCCGAATAAAGCCCCCCCCCCCCCCGCACAAAAGGCCATGCACTGAAACAGAAGACCAATCAAACAAGCACTTACCCAGAAGGATAAACCCACCCATCACACACACGCAAGCCCACTCACCCAGGTACGGCCCTTAGTGACAGCTTTCTTTAGTGACGGCCTTTTTCCTCCAGTGCAGGCTGCACCGTTCCCGCCTCCCACCTCCTCGTCCTCCTTCTCTGTCACAAGCTCCTGACTCTCCTCCCCTGCGCCGCCAGCCTTGCCGGACCCAAACGCACACGTTTTCTCCGCCTTCTGTGGGCTTTGGGGCTCTGGCTCTGGCTCTGGCTCTGGCTCTGGCTCTGGCTGTGCACGGGACATGGAACGTGTGGAAGCCGCTGCCATGTCCTCCACCGTCCCCACCATGTCCCTAACAGTCTCCACCACATCTCCCACCGTCTCCACCACGTCCTTCTCTAGCTGCACACAGCGGTACACACACAGTGGTACAAAGCGGCCCACAGCGGCACACATCAAGCGAGTGCAGTGACGAATTCCAAGAGAAAGCACGTGTCAGCAGCCGTCAAACGACACAACAGTGGGGCCAGGGAGGCAGGCAGGCAGGCAGGCAGGCAGGCAGGCAGGGAAACAGCGAGGAGGGGATGGATGTATGCGTGTGATTGTGGCTTCCTTGCGTGCATGGCAAGCTGCCATACAGGGGCAGATAGTTCCGTGAGGCAAGGCGCACAAGGAGCATGGCATGGCAGCAGGTGGTGGCAGGAGAGTGAGAGCGCAGGGATGGCTCACCCGTTCGGCGATGAGGTAGACGATGAGGGTTTCCAAGGCGGTGAGACCGATGAAGACGTATGAGATGATGACCAGATAGCCAAACTGCGTCATCACTGATGAGCGCGGCAGCTGCATGGGGGGGATGGGGGTGGGGGGGGAAGACACAAGGGGAAAACGGAGAGATGATGGTAGGGAGAAAGGGAGGGGGTCAGGGAAATGGAGGGAGGGCGAGGTGAATGCAGCTGAGACGGGTAGAAAAGGAAGTTGTTGTGGCGAGTAAAGAAGTGGAATGCGGTGGAGGGAGGGTGAGAGGGTTTGATGCTTGCTGCGTGCTGGTGGTGAGGTGTTGTTGAACTTGTTAGTTAGCAGCCGTGTGAAGTGAAGCATCCATGGTGTGGTGTTCACTCCGTGCGAATGCAATGAAGAGAGTGCTCACGGCAACAGCCGCAGAAGGAAATACGGCAATGCAAGGCAAGGCAAGGCAACATGCACGCACCCACGCACCCATGCACCTATGTACCCACGCACCCACGCTCCCACGCACCGACACACCCACCCACCCATCTACTCAACCAAGCACATACCTGGCTGTCAATGACGAACTGCACGGCTGAGAGGGCGAGGAAGAGCGTGACAAAGGTGGCGGATCGAGTCTCGAGGTCGTCGGGTTTAGCAAAGAAGACGGAGAAGCAGAGATACACGCTGAGCATCACAGGCACCACAATCTGACAGGGGCGAAGGGGATCACACGTGCAAGGGACGAGGAATCTCAGAGGTCAGAGGTGCAGGGGGGAGGATGGGAGGAGCAGGAGGGGAGGACGAGAGGAGGAGATGGAGAGGCAGTGGACGGGCAGCGGATGCTAACAGGATGGACGAGAGAGAAATAGATGACGTGAGGAAGATAATGGGGATGCGGTTGATGGTTACAAGGAAACAATTAGCGGGTGAGAGTACGTGTGAGAGAGGCACACCGAGATGATGAAGACGCCACTGGTGCGGGAGATCTGGATGGTGAAGACACACGACGTGGACTCGTTCACGTTGCTGCTGCTGCCACTGTCCGATGGGGAGTTCTGATTGAACGTGTACCAGGGGTCCTCTGCACAGCTCAACGTACAACACGACACGCATGGCAACACGCATGGCAACACGCATGGCAACATGCAGGGCAACACGCAGGGCAACACGCATGGCAACACGCATGGCAACACGCATGGCAACACGCATGGCAACACGCATGGCAACAAGCATGGCAACACGCATGGCAACTAGCATGGCAACACGTATGGCAACACGCACGGCACAGAAGATACGTCTTGTTAATCAACTTGAAGGAACCGGTACTAAGAATGGTGATAGTCGTGGTAAGTTGTGGTGGTTACCAGGAGCATTGCGCGGCGGTTACCGGAAGGGTCGCGGTGGTTACCGGGATGGTAGGTGGCGGAGGTGGAGACGGTGGTAGCAGAGGGAGTGCAGTTGAGCGCCACATCATTGATCTTCCAGCCCGTGACCTCATCATTCACGTACGTGCCTCCCCCTCCCCCCAGCTGCCCGCCCCCCTGCTCTGACTGCCGCCCCGAGTTGCTCCCCACCAGGTAGAACTCGCCACTCTCCACCTGAACGCTCAGCCGCAGCGTCTGCCGTGCGTGCCATGCAGGAGGGGCGTAGGCAGGGGCGTGGTTGTGATGCAGGAGGGAGGGAACAATGCAGGGCTACCTTTGCTGCTCTCTTTGTGTGTGTGTGTGTGTGTGTGTGTGCGTGCGTGCGTGCGTGTGGGCACATGTATGTGCATAGGACCGGTCAAAGAGGAGGCAGTGAGAGAGCGAGTGCAGGACAAGAGCATATAGGTGGGAGACGTACCTGAGAGTCAAGAGGAAACTTCTTGAAGCTGAGGGGTGAAGAGAACTCGCCTGTTACACACACATGCGCACATCGACAAGCATGGGCACACACACACACCCATGCACGGCACGCACGCACGCACGCACGCACGCACGCTCGCACGCACGCACGCACACACACACACACACACACACACACAGCGGTTGAGATCATTGGTTGCATAATTACACGAGGTACTGACAGTTGATGGAAGCCGTGTGGGGATTCTGTGGGAGAGGAGCAGAGCATGCACGCTATGGCAGACGAGTAGACCAAGGAGAGAGAAGCAAGTCCATGCAAGGGACGCAGGGAAAGGCGACGGGAGTTGGCGGGAGGAGCAAAGGGAGTGGAGGGGGAGGAGGGGGGTGGAGGGAGAGGAGGGGAGTGGAGGGGAGAGGAGCGGGGAGGGAGGAGGGGAGAGGAGGGGAGTGGAGGGGAGAGGAGAGGGGGGTAGAGGAGGGGAGGAGCACCTCCAACGACGACTTCTCTGTCGACCGAGCTGACCTCGTTGCTGTACTGCCCGAAGAAGTATATGCTCTCTGCACGCGTGGGCGGTGGGGGGATGGTGGGAGCGAGCAAGGGTGGGAGGGAGAGGGAGTGAGAGAGAAAGGAGGGGGGCGGGAATGAGGGGTGGAAGAAGGAGGAGGAAGGGCGCGAGGAGGAAGGCCGAAAGAGGAGGGATTGACGGACGTTAAGGCCGGGCGAATTATAGGTAGACAGGCAGATGCGAGGGCGTGCGACGTGTGTGGGCAGCGAGTGAGGTGCATGCATCCATCCATGCAAGCTCGGGAGGTCGGGAGCGGGGACGGTCACCGGTTTGGAAGTGATCTTGCGTTTACAAAAGGAAGTTACCAGTTTGGAAGCGGTCTTACCGGTTTGGAAGCGGTCTTACCGGTTTGGAAGCGGTCTTACCGGTTTGGAAGCGGGCTTACCGGTTTGGAAGCGGTCTTGCGGGTAGAAGAGGACGTTGTCGATGGTGAGCGAGGGGATCCAGAGGGCGTCGCAGCACGTGGTGCCGGACGGAGTGCACGGCTTGTTGCAGCCGTCCATCTGCGGCAGGTTGTTCTGCTTGGGCGTCTTCAGGCACTCGTCCTTCCCGCTGATGTTGAACCCCGAGAACGTCACGTTCGGCTTGCACTTGGCCGTCGCCAGCCCCGTGATGGTCGGCCCAAACGCGCTCACCGCGTTGTTTATCGCCAGCGTGTCGTTCACTGCCGGCCGCCCGCACGCACGCACGCAAGCACGCACGCACAGAGGTCGCGCAGACACGCGCATAAATCGTACGCACACACGCACAGGCCGAGGCAGATCAGAGGCAGAGGCAGAGGTAGAGGCAGAGGCAGAGGTAGAGGCAGAGGCAGAGGTAGATGCAGAGGCAGAGGTAGAGGCAGAGGCAGAGGTAGAGGCAGAGGCAGAGGTAGAGGCAGAGGCAGAGGTAGAGGCAGAGGCAGAGGCAGAGGTAGAGGCAGAGGCAGAGGTAGAGGTAGAGGCAGAGGTAGAGGCAGAGGCAGAGGTGAGGGGACAATGAGAAACGGGAACCACGGTTGTTTACAATCGCGATGGATGGCAGTCAGAACCACAACTTGAACCACACGAGCCTACTCACAATCACGCGCGCGCATCAAGTCAAAACGGATACTTTCAACCCGAAAGGCGGCCCGCCCTTCACCATTACCATCATCATCAGCAATAGCTTGGCGGCACCGACAGCAAGAACGGGCTACTACTACGGACGAGGCGGGACGGTTGCGCGGCGAAAGGTGGAGCATGGGGCGTGGCGGGGCCGCGCGAGGCAAGCAGCAGCAGCAAAGGGGAGGGCGAAACGCACCTCGAGGGTCGCGCCACGTGGAGATGATTTGGAAATACGCCATGTAGCTGTACTTCACGGCTGCGGGGGGGAATGAACATGGGGGGACGGAAAGATGGACGGAGGTGTGTGTGTTTGTGGGTGGTTGTGTACTAAGGGTCCCTTGCGGTGGTTGTGTGCCTGTCCGCGCGCGCGCGCGCGTGAGCGGCGGGTGCGCGCGAGTGCGGCAATGCAAGTAGAGCAGCAGCGCCGTCGCCGTCGTGCGGGTGTGGCTCACCGTCGACGCTGACGAGTTTCTTGAGCTGCACGGAGAGAAACACTTTAGGCTTCTCCGCCACGATCCCCGCCGTGTACGGGTCGATGCCCTGACCAATCAGCGGGCAGTCCGTCTGCGCCGCCGCTAGCAGAACGCCTCCGCATTTGGCGCCGAAATTCGCCGTCAACGGGAGCAGCATGATTGCGAGCATCAGCACGAGGGACAACTGCGAATCCCTCGGGAGAGCGATACGAGCCGCCATTGCCCTCGCACGACCTAGTATGAGTCAAGAGATTGAAACAAGTTCACACAAGGCGCGGTGGACGACTGGCTTGCTCTTGGCCCCAGCGAGAAGGTTGAGTTGAGACTCGAAGAGGGACGCGCGCGTGAATGTCTCCTCCTGGTGCTTGTGCACTACTGAGGGTGTGTGGCATTTGCGCGAATGGATGGGTGAAGTGGAGCCGCTGGTGGCGCGGAGCGCGGAGCGGAATGAAAGACCGACGAGATGCGGTGCGGTGCGGGGGAAGGGGGAAGCATTCTGTTCCGCCCGTATCACTAGCGGATGGGGGCATCGTGCGACATATGGGACAGCGCTAATATACCGGCACGGTTTGCCCCAAAATTCGGCAACCACTGGTCAGTTCCAAATTGTCTTGCAAACGTTTCACACACAAATCTGCACTGTGTCTCCCCTCATGGTGGCTCCTCTGACTTTACCTGTGTGTAGGTCAGCGAGACAACACCATGATAAGTAGAAGATATGGGTGAATGAGAATACACAGCACAACCTTCAGACTACACTCCATTATGGTGCTTTTAGTTAGGTTGGCAATTTCTAGACTAAAGTCCCCTCCAAGTCGTGCTACATACTCTACGAAGCCCCTGGTCGACCGAACCAGGCAGGGCTGGTTCCACTGGCACGGACCCTGGGCAGAACCCCCGAATTAGTTAGTGGTCGAAATGGTCACTCCCATGCCAAACCAAAGCTAAGCCCGAACCTCGACCACCCAAACCGAATTAGTGGCCCTGTTCGACTTCGACTCCCACGCCGCCTTCTCTTCAATCCTGCGGCGCGTCTCAAATTCGCCCTCGCGCATTAGCGGCGCTCCCTCTGCGACACATCTTTCCCCGAGTCACCTCACCTCCTTTCATTCCCCCCCACCCCCTTCCCCCACCCCCTTCCCCCAACCCTTCCCCCACCTCCCTCGCACTCTCGCAACGCAAACACAAGTACTGTATCCGTCCCCTCGCGCGACACGGTGTTCGCTGGCCCGCAGCACCGTCACTCCACCGCACCACACCACACCACACCACACCACACGACACATGACAGGCACACAGCCCGCGTTGCATCGAGCTGCCACTCCGGCTCCACTGCTTTCCGGAGCAAACAACACCCTTCTCTTGCTCGTTATTCGTGCATTGCCCGAGATATCCGCCGCGGTCACGGTCCCCATCACCATACTTCATTGCTACTAGCAATTCGAGTACTACCAGTGGTAGTAGCATAGCATGGGCTCCTCCGAGGACTCGGACTCCGAGTCTGTCCACCCTGGGCCCATCCCTACGTTACTGTCGCCATCGCCATCCAATCGCCGATTCTCGCCGTCGATGCCGCCGACTCCCCGTGCCGCGGCAATCCCGCTGTTGCTGCTGCTGCTAGTCACGCTCCTGGCGCCGGCGGATGAGCGCTCCGCCAGCGGAGGCGGCGGAGTGCGCGGGGCGGTGGCGCAGACGGACTGTCCGCTGGTGGGGCAGGGCATCGACCCGTACTCGGCGGGGCTGGTCGACAACAAGCCGCCCGTCTACGTCTCCGTGCTCCTCAAGAAGCTCATCGCCGTTGACGGTGCGCGCGCCGTCCCCCACATTTCCGCACCCCCCTTCCTCTTTCCCCCTTTGCCCCCCTTTCCCCTTCCCCCCTGGCCCTCCTCCCCTTTCCCCTCCTTTCCTCCCCTTCCCCCGTCGCTCATTTCGCTGCCATCGGTACCTAGTACGCGCGTGCGCGCAGCTCCGCTCCTTCCGCTCAAATATTGGCGTACCCCTTGCGGCTGCCGTTTAAAAGCAAGTCTTAGGGTCATTCGCATTGCACGAAACGCCCAAGAATTGCTTTGGGAGGCAATGAATTGCACGTCCTTCACTCCTGAAAATTCCTCTCACAATCCCCTCCCCTCTCCCTTCTTTCCTCTCTCCCTCCCTCCCCACTCCCCCCCCCCCCCCCCCCCCCCTGGGCGCGCACGGCATGGCGGCGAGCAGAGGTCCAGTACAGCTACAGCGCCTACTTCTCCATCGTCACCACCTGGCGCGACCCAAGAGGTGCGTGCTGTGCTGCTAGCTCGCCCGCCGCCTCGTGCTCCCCAACGTGGCGCCGTGCCGTTCATAAGTATGGTGGGGTCGTTTCGCGGGTGCCGCGCCCAGGTCGTTGCATCTCATGGTGGGAGTATTCACCACGATTTTCTCCCACCCCGCCTTGGCATGGAGTGGAATGGCATGGCATGGCATGGCATGGCATGGCGTCGCGTCGCGTGGCATGACATAACGTGACATGGCATGGCATGGCACTGCATCATGGCGTGGCATGGCATGGCATGGCATGGCATGACGTGGCACGGCATGACGTGGCATGACGTGGCACGGCAGTGAACGACACGGTGGCGATGAACAAGGTGCTGTCGGCGATGGGGCCGGCGCTGACGTGGAAGGCTGTGGAGGACTGCAAGCCCAACGTGACGTTCTCGGGGTTCAACATCAGCCAGAAGGACGCCTGCCTCAAAAACATCAAGCAGGTCAAAGGGCCTCCCACGCGCGGGGGACTGTGATGTGGATGGGGATGTGGGGGGAGGAAGGGGGGGGTGGGAGAGAAGGGAGACGCAGCCTTGAGCGGGATGGCCAAGCGGGAGGCTGTGGCACGTGCTGATAAAGTGGTGATGCATCTGCTTGATGCTTGAATCTCCCACCAACCCCTTCTCCCCCTCCCCCCCTCCCCCCCCCCCCCCTACACACCACCACCACCTCCAATTTCTCCCCACCCCCCTCCCATGCGGCCCGGAGTGCAGAACAACCTGCCGCAGATGGAGGGGTGCAACAAGCCGTGCACTCCTGCGGGCATCACGTGCTGCGACGCCCTCTGGATCCCCTCGCTCACCATCCCCAACGTCATCCTCTACCCGCAAGACCGCTACCAAACTGGTCCGCCCCACCTCCTCTTCCCCTCTCTCCAACGGTCCTTTGTGTCAATGCGCTGTCCTCCTCTTCCTCCCACGTTCAAGGCTTATTTTGAGCGCACACACGCCATGCAACGCCACGCCATGCCATGGCAGGTGCTTGCTGGGAAGCATGCAGTGCACGTGCATGGCACAGCAAATGTATATCTGGCGCCTTGCGTGCCTCTCGTGTCCTCCTCGTGCGTGTGCGTGCAGAGAGCATTTTCTTCTTTGGGGATTACAGCACCGACGCCAGTGCCGTTGACCGAGAGTCCATCGTTGAAGGTACGCTATTGTCACACATGCTCGATGCCACCTGCATGCTCCTCCTTCCTCCCCTCGTTCTGCTCTTGCACCCTCTGCTCTGCTCTGCTCTTTCGCCCTAGTCCACCAATAGCCGCTCTGCCCTTGAAAAGCTGGCATTTCTGCCCTTCAGCCACATCCAAGGCGCTTTGCTCCCTCCCCTCCTCACTCCCTCTCCCCATCCCTCCCTCCCTCTCCCTCTTTCCTCATCTCGGTCTCCCCCCCTCTCCCCATCGTGCAGGAACCTTCTCCTCGCCCTTCACCTTCCGGAGATTCCCCTTTGACTCCCAGGTAAGTAACTCTCAGCTTCTCTCAACACTCCGCTGTCATCTATTGTTATCGCCCTCCATCCATAAGCATCAAGTAAAAACGTCTGCACCCATCCACGTGCGTCTCAGGAACTGGAGGCGACGCGTCTGCGCAGTCTCCCTCCCTCCCTCTCTCCACTCCCTACCTACTGTATCCCACATCTTCTCCTTTCCCTTCCCCGCCTTTCCTCCTCTTCCTTGTGTCTCCCCACCCCGCTCGTCTCCCCAACCTCTCCCCCCCCCCCCCTCCCCCTCCACCCCCCAGATACTGCGGTTGGTGGTGGCAGTGGAGGGCAGTGGGGAGTTCTACCTGGTGGGGAGCAACTCGGGGCGGCAGTCGGAGCAGGGGGGCGGGCAGATGGGGGGAGGGGGAGGCACGTACGTGAATGATGAGGTCACGGGCTGGAAGATTGCGAGTGTGGCGCTCGACTGCACTCCCTCTGACACCACTGTCAGCACCTCCGCCTCCTACGCTCCTGGTAACCACCTCCGCCACCTGCCATCCCGGTGTGTGCGTGGGAGCATGGGTGTGCGTGTGGGTGTGTAAGTGGGTAAGTGCGTGGGTGTGTGGATGGGTGGGTGTGTGGAAGGGTGGGTGTGTGGGTGTGTGGGTGTGTGGGTGTGTGGGTGTGTGGGTGTGTGGGTGTGTGGGTGTGTGGGTGTGTGGGTGTGTGGATGGGTGGGTGTGTGTGTGTGTGGGTGTGTGGGTGTGTGGGTGTGTGGGTGTGTGGATGGGTGGGTGTGTGGAAGGGTGGGTGTGTGGGTGTGTGGGTGTGTGGGTGCACACATGCATGATTCCTGAGAGCACTCTCTGTTCTTCCTCTGCTCTCACACCTCCCTCTGCTGCTCCCACACCTGCCTGCCACTGCTCTCACCTTCCCTCTGCTCCCACCCCTCCCTCTACTCCCACCCCTCCCTCTGTGCTCCCCTCTCCTCTCCCCATCACCAACTCCCCCCACATGCGCCTGCCTGCTGCTGCGTGCCCTCGCCCACAGAGGACCCGTGGAACGCCATACCGGACAACACGGGCAGCGGCAGCAGTGGGGCAGCGAGCAACCAGAGCGCCACGTGCATCTTCACCATCCACATCCAACGCACCAGCGGCGTCTATGTCATCGCCGTACGCTCCCACCCCTGCCTCCTCTCTCTCTCTCGCACTCGCTGCCGTTCTGGTCTTCCTACGCTCTGCTTCTCTCCTCCACACCACACATCATCGCATCCTGCCTTCTCTGCCTTCGTCTTTGGAGGTCTGTCTCTACCTTCAGTTGACTGTACATTCATTTCATCTCACTCCTCTCTGGCCTATATCCTCCCCCTTGTTTCTGGCCCATAACCTGTCTTTGCTATCTCTCTTCCCCCACCCCTTTCTTCTATAAAAAGTTCAACCTCCCTTCCCCCTTCCCTCCTCCTCCTCCTCTTCCTCCTCCTCCTCCTCCTCCTCCTCCTCCTCCTCCTCCTCCTCCTCCTCCTCCTCCTCCTCCTCCTCCTCCTCCTCCTCTCTCCTCTCGCCTCTCTCTCCTCTCTTGCCACTTGCTCCTCCCCCGCCCCACCAGGTGCTGCTGCCAGTCATACTGAGCGTCTATCTCACATTCACGGCCTTCATAGCCAAGCCAGAGGATCTCGAGATTCGATTGGGGCGTGCCTCACGCTCTTCCTCGCCCTCGTCGCCATTCAGTTCGTCATTGACAGCCAGGTTCGTCATTGACAGCCAGGTTCGTCATTGACAGCCAGGTTCGTCATTGACAGCCAGGTTCGTCATTGACAGCCAGGTTCGTCATTGACAGCCAGGTTCGGCATTGACAGCCAGGTTCGGCTTTGACAGCCAGGTTCGTCATTGACAGCCAGGTTCGTCATTGACAGCCAGGTTCGTCATTGACAGCCAGGTTCGTCATCCCGCCCTCCCCTCCCGCACAACACACCTTCTGTTATTCTGCTCTCAATCTCCTCTCGCCTTGAAGCATCAGCCTGGCACTCCAATACCCACCTCTCACTCACTTCACTTCACTCCAAACCTCCCTAAACTTCTTTGCCCTTCTTCCCCCCGCTCTCACCTCAGCCCCCTCTTCCAAACCCAAACTTTCTGCTTCCACGCTCATTCAACACTGCTTCCACGCTCATTCAACACTGCTTCCAAACCCCTCCTGAATCCCTCCTCGCCTCCTCAACCCCCCTCCCCGTTCCCACCCCTACCCACCTGCATGGGTGCAGTTGCCGCGCACGTCAGCGATAACCAACTTTGGGTATCTGATGATCACCTCCTACATTGTCATCTGGCTGTGCACCATGGAGACCCTCGTTGCCTTCTGCATCGCCGAGCGCATCGAGAAGAACGTGCAGGAGCTCGTCTCCGACTCGCTGCCGCCCGCCCTCTCCTTCAAGCGCCGCTCGCCTGCCGACAAGGCAGCGGGCGAGAAGCTGATGGGCTCCGGTCGACACGTGGATGGTGTTGACAGCAACGACCCTGAAGCCATTGCTGAAGCTGCAGTGGAGAGGAGGGCTGCTGCGGCTGAGGAGAAGCAGAAGAAGAACGTCCCGGGCCTGCTGGTATGTCCCAATAGGCTGCTGCATTGAATTGGTCTTCTGCTAGTTTTCCCTGCATTCCTATAACAACTAACCTCACCTCCTCTCCCCCAAAACTGATTGGTGCCTTGTCTTGGCAGAGATTCCGGTTGTTTGGCTACCATGTGAGGCAATCCAACCCTGAGAGAGCCAAGCAAGGGAACTACCGGCTGGCAGTCAAAATAGACATTATTGTTGGTCTTTTTCTCTGGCTACACTGTCACCTGGATAGTTCTGTGCACCACTTGATAGTTTTTCTTATAGACCATGCATAAGGTGTTACAATGGAAGGTGAGAGACAATTGTTTGTTTTGGGAGTGGGTGGCTTTCTCTAACTTTGTATTTCAGGGCTGCCCAATAGTGGATAGTGTCATAGTGGATTTGCCTTACCGGTACAAGCATTTAGGGAGTGAAGAATGCTACCATGCTCCCTAAAACCATAGTCCACACCTGTTTTACGATTGAGTCGCGTTCTGAAAACGTAAATGGGTTTGTACTGTGAACAAAGGCCTGTACACACGATGCCCGTTTGACTAACCCAAGGTTGCCTTGTGAAGAGGGCTTTTAAGTGTTTCTGAGAATTTCGCAAATTTCGTCAACGTCGCACCTAGCAAAAAGGGGCTTATAAAAAATTTGTAACTCTCCATTGACATTTTGACTTCGGTCTCTTCCGTGTGACTTCGGTTTCTGTGGTTCGTATTGGCTCATAACCACTGCAACTTGCTCGAGGAGCTTGTAATGTGGGTGCAACTGGCTGGTAAAAAAAACACGGGTGCAGACTTTCTATTTTGGAAAGGGCAAATTCGCGCGCAGGGGTTGAGCATCTTGTGTAACGCTAACGCGTGTCGTACCAGTCGTGCCTTTGTTGGTTTCCTCCTTGCAACCCGATGTGAGTGAATGGTGGCTTGACTCGATACCGAAATACCTGGCTCCAAAAAGACGGCTGGCTTGGACGCCACGAAGCCTATGCTCGAGCCTGGTCTGGTCTGGCCCGAACCCCAAACCAGGTTTGGCAGGTGTTACGACTTCAAGTCTGCTACACATACTGATTCCTAAACAGTGCTCTGTCTGGTTGCCATACCATGCCATCGAGCGCTCCTCTTCAGGTCCTCGGGTCGCTCCTTATCCCCGACCAACCAATACGTCGAATCGGAGCCCCAAAAGGATCGACATCCCACATCACACGGAACCAGCATGAGCCCGAGCAGCCCCCAGCCACTCGTCCGAATCGGGAATGAAGTCGTGCTACATGTGCGGCGCCGGAGATGCCTTTCCAGCCAGTCACACCAATGCTTTCCCGCTGCCGAAGCGCGTCCGCCCGCCTCCATCCACCATTCTGTCGAATCGACTGTCGAATCGAAACTGTACTGGTACTAGTACAGTCCCAGCATGCACTGAGCGCTCTTATCGCAATGCACTTCGTGGCTGTGGAGTGGAGCTTTGTGTGACGCCGCTCTCGCACAACACAATCCCGCTTGAAGTTCCCCCATGGCTACCACCATGATGGCGGCTTTCTCGTGCCGTGGGGCCTCCCCTCGTCTGCTCGTGCCGCTCCTGCTCCTCTCCCTCGGCGTCTTGCGGATCCACGCGCGCCACGGCCCCGAGATAGCCGTTGCGGACGCTCAGGCGAATTCCCGCAGCGGCGCCGGCATTCCCGCCGGGGGTGTCGCCGATTTTCATGGAGGGCAATTCAAGTTGGACTCGCAGTCACCCGAGGTATACTCGATCACAAAGAGTCGCAGTCGAACTGCCCCCGATGAGAGTCGCAGTCGAACTGCCCCCGATGAGAGTCGCAGTCGAACTGCCCCCGATGAGAGTCGCAGTCGAACTGCCCCCGATGAGAGTCGCAGTCGAATTGCCCCCGATGAGAGTCGCAGTCGCAGTTGATGATGCCACTACTAGCATTAGCCGGAAACAGTCGCGCGACATGTGACGTTACTGAATGTAGATTGCTCGTAAGTCGAACGGTGACTTCACACACTCACTGAGTGGCACTCACACACACTCACACACACTCACACACACTCACACACACTTTCACGTGAGTCATGGGCAGGTCGGAGCATCCCGAGGGCGCCAGCATGATGGTCCATCAGCCGCAACAAGGGCGCCCAACACGGGGAGCAATGACGGCTCGGCGGAGTCGATTGCGGAGTGGAAGCGGCGATCAGCGGAAGCGGGCGCGCACTTCTTCCCCCTGCAGCGCGCGGAAGACGCCCCCAGCAGGGAGGAGATACACCGGCGGATTCTCAAGGTGAGCGGTGAAGGAGCGGAGCGGGCGGAATCAGGGAGTTGCTGGTCGAATTGTCTTTCACAATATCACGATAAGCTGCCGCTGCCGCCCTCAATGCCATGGGGCACATGGATGGAGAGACAGCGGTGCAGGAGGAGCTTGCACACATATGGATGAGGCATGCGCATGGCGTTGCATGGCGTTGCATGGCGTTGCATGGCGTTGCATGGCGTTGCATGGCGTTGCATGGCGTTGCATGGCGTTGCATGGCGTTGCATGGCGTTGCATGGCGTTGCATGGACATCTTCACTTCACCGCTGCCACTCCGCTGCGGGCTCTTACTGTCTTTACGATTGCGTGCGTGCGTCCTCGCCCCCTCCCCCTCCCCGCCTCTCACAATCCGTGACATGATGTGCAGGGCATGGGGCAAGGCATGAAGCCCCCGGAAGCGTCAGGCACGGTATCGCAGGTGCGTGAGCGCACACAACACATGCTTGCGTGCGTGCATCACTGCTTGCGTGCGTGCATCACTGCTTGCGTGCGTGCATCACTGCTTGCGTGCGTGCATCACTGCTTGCTTGTGTGCATCACTGCTTGCGTGTGTGCATCACTGCTTGCTTGTGTGCATCACTGCTTGCGTGTGTGCATCACTGCTTGCGTGCGTGCATCACTGCTTGCGTGTGTGCATCACTGCTTGCGTGTGTGCATCACTGCTTGCTTGTGTGCATCACTGCTTGCGTGTGTGCATCACTGCTTGCGTGTGTGCATCACTGCTTGCGTGCGTGCATCACTGCTTGCGTGCGTGCATCACTGCTTGCGTGCGTGCATCACTGCTTGCGTGTGTGCATCACTGCTTGCTTGTGTGCATCACTGCTTGCTTGTGTGCATCACTGCTTGCGTGTGTGCATCACTGCTTGCGTGCGTGCATCACTGCTTGCGTGTGTGCATCACTGCTTGCGTGTGTGCATCACTGCTTGCTTGTGTGCATCACTGCTTGCGTGTGTGCATCACTGCTTGCGTGTGTGCATCACTGCTTGCGTGCGTGCATCACTGCTTGCGTGCGTGCATCACTGCTTGCTTGCGTGCATCACTGCTTGCTTGCGTGCATCACTGCTTGCGTGCGTGCATCACTGCTTGCTTGTGTGCATCACTGCTTGCTTGTGTGCATCACTGCTTGCGTGCGTGCATCACTGCTTGCGTGCGTGCATCACTGCTTGCTTGCGTGCATCACTGCTTGCTTGTGTGCATCACTGCTTGCGTGTGTGCATCACTGCTTGCGTGTGTGCATCACTGCTTGCGTGCGTGCATCACTGCTTGCGTGCGTGCATCACTGCTTGCTTGCGTGCATCACTGCTTGCTTGCGTGCATCACTGCTTGCGTGCGTGCATCACTGCTTGCTTGTGTGCATCACTGCTTGCTTGTGTGCATCACTGCTTGCGTGCGTGCATCACTGCTTGCGTGCGTGCATCACTGCTTGCTTGCGTGCATCACTGCTTGCTTGTGTGCATCACTGCTTGCGTGTGTGCATCACTGCTTGCGTGCGTGCATCACTGCTTGCGTGCGTGCATCACTGCTTGCGTGTGTGCATCACTGCTTGCGTGTGTGCATCACTGCTTGCGTGCGTGCATCACTGCTTGCGTGCGTGCATCACTGCTTGCTTGCGTGCATCACTGCTTGCTTGCGTGCATCACTGCTTGCGTGCGTGCATCACTGCTTGCGTGCGTGCATCACTGCTTGCGTGCGTGCATCACTGCTTGCGTGTGTGCATCACTGCTTGCTTGTGTGCATCACTGCTTGCGTGCGTGCATCACTGCTTGCATGCGTGCATCACTGCTTGCGTGCGTGCATCACTGCTTGCGTGTGTGCATCACTGCTTGCGTGTGTGCATCACTGCTTGCGTGTGTGCATCACTGCTTGCTTGTGTGCATCACTGCTTGCGTGTGTGCATCACTGCTTGCGTGCGTGCATCACTGCTTGCGTGCGTGCATCACTTCTTGCGTGCGTGCATCACTGCTTGCTTGCGTGCATCACTGCTTGCGTGCGTGCATCACTGCTTGCGTGCGTGCATCACTGCTTGCTTGTGTGCATCACTGCTTGCGTGCGTGCATCACTGCTTGCGTGCGTGCATCACTGCTTGCTTGTGTGCATCACTGCTTGCTTGTGTGCATCACTGCTTGCGTGTGTGCATCACTGCTTGCTTGCGTGCATCACTGCTTGCGTGCGTGCATCACTGCTTGCGTGCGTGCATCACTGCTTGCGTGCGTGCATCACTGCTTGCGTGTGTGCATCACTGCTTGCTTGTGTGCATCACTGCTTGCGTGTGTGCATCACTGCTTGCTTGCGTGCATCACTGCTTGCGTGCGTGCATCACTGCTTGCTTGTGTGCATCACTGCTTGCGTGCGTGCATCACTGCTTGCGTGTGTGCATCACTGCTTGCTTGTGTGCATCACTGCTTGCTTGTGTGCATCACTGCTTGCGTGCGTGCATCACTGCTTGCGTGCGTGCATCACTGCTTGCGTGCGTGCATCACTGCTTGCTTGTGTGCATCACTGCTTGCTTGTGTGCATCACTGCTTGCGTGCGTGCATCACTGCTTGCTTGTGTGCATCACTGCTTGCGTGCGTGCATCACTGCTTGCTTGCGTGCATCACTGCTTGCGTGCGTGCATCACTGCTTGCTTGCGTGCATCACTGCTTGCTTGTGTGCATCACTGCTTGCGTGCGTGCATCACTCCTTGCTTGTGTGCATCACTGCTTGCGTGCGTGCATCACTCCTTGCTTGTGTGCATCACTGCTTGCGTGCGTGCATCACTCCTTGCTTGTGTGCATCACTGCTTGCGTGCGTGCATCACTCCTTGCTTGTGTGCATCACTGCTTGCGTGCGTGCATCACTCCTTGCTTGTGTGCATCACTGCTTGCGTGCGTGCATCACTGCTTGCGTGCGTGCATCACTGCTTGCTTCCGTGCATCACTGCTTGCTTGCGTGCATCACTGCTTGCGTGCGTGCATCACTGCTTGCTTGTGTGCATCACTGCTTGCTTGTGTGCATCACTGCTTGCGTGCGTGCATCACTGCTTGCGTGCGTGCATCACTGCTTGCTTGCGTGCATCACTGCTTGCTTGTGTGCATCACTGCTTGCGTGTGTGCATCACTGCTTGCGTGCGTGCATCACTGCTTGCGTGCGTGCATCACTGCTTGCGTGTGTGCATCACTGCTTGCGTGTGTGCATCACTGCTTGCGTGCGTGCATCACTGCTTGCGTGCGTGCATCACTGCTTGCTTGCGTGCATCACTGCTTGCTTGCGTGCATCACTGCTTGCGTGCGTGCATCACTGCTTGCGTGCGTGCATCACTGCTTGCGTGCGTGCATCACTGCTTGCGTGTGTGCATCACTGCTTGCTTGTGTGCATCACTGCTTGCGTGCGTGAATCACTGCTTGCGTGCGTGCATCACTGCTTGCGTGCGTGCATCACTGCTTGCGTGTGTGCATCACTGCTTGCGTGTGTGCATCACTGCTTGCGTGTGTGCATCACTGCTTGCTTGTGTGCATCACTGCTTGCGTGTGTGCATCACTGCTTGCGTGCGTGCATCACTGCTTGCGTGCGTGCATCACTGCTTGCGTGCGTGCATCACTGCTTGCTTGCGTGCATCACTGCTTGCGTGCGTGCATCACTGCTTGCGTGCGTGCATCACTGCTTGCTTGTGTGCATCACTGCTTGCGTGCGTGCATCACTGCTTGCGTGCGTGCATCACTGCTTGCTTGTGTGCATCACTGCTTGCTTGTGTGCATCACTGCTTGCGTGTGTGCATCACTGCTTGCTTGCGTGCATCACTGCTTGCGTGCGTGCATCACTGCTTGCGTGCGTGCATCACTGCTTGCGTGCGTGCATCACTGCTTGCGTGTGTGCATCACTGCTTGCTTGTGTGCATCACTGCTTGCGTGTGTGCATCACTGCTTGCTTGCGTGCATCACTGCTTGCGTGCGTGCATCACTGCTTGCTTGTGTGCATCACTGCTTGCGTGCGTGCATCACTGCTTGCGTGTGTGCATCACTGCTTGCTTGTGTGCATCACTGCTTGCTTGTGTGCATCACTGCTTGCGTGCGTGCATCACTGCTTGCGTGCGTGCATCACTGCTTGCGTGCGTGCATCACTGCTTGCTTGTGTGCATCACTGCTTGCTTGTGTGCATCACTGCTTGCGTGCGTGCATCACTGCTTGCTTGTGTGCATCACTGCTTGCGTGCGTGCATCACTGCTTGCTTGCGTGCATCACTGCTTGCGTGCGTGCATCACTGCTTGCTTGTGTGCATCACTGCTTGCGTGCGTGCATCACTGCTTGCTTGTGTGCATCACTGCTTGCGTGCGTGCATCACTGCTTGCTTGCGTGCATCACTGCTTGCGTGCGTGCATCACTGCTTGCTTGCGTGCATCACTGCTTGCTTGTGTGCATCACTGCTTGCGTGCGTGCATCACTCCTTGCTTGTGTGCATCACTGCTTGCGTGCGTGCATCACTCCTTGCTTGTGTGCATCACTGCTTGCGTGCGTGCATCACTGCTTGCGTGCGTGCATCACTCCTTGCTTGTGTGCATCACTCCTTGCTTGCGTGCATCACTGCTTGCGTGCGTGCATCACTCCTTGCTTGTGTGCATCACTGCTTGCTTGCGTGCATCACTGCTTGCTTGCGTGCATCACTGCTTGCTTGTGTGCATCACTGCTTGCTTGTGTGCATCACTGCTTGCTTGTGTGCATCACTGCTTGCTTGCGTGCATCACTGCTTGCGTGCGTGCATCACTCCTTGCTTGTGTGCATCACTCCTTGCTTGCGTGCATCACTGCTTGCGTGCGTGCATCACTCCTTGCTTGTGTGCATCACTGCTTGCTTGTGTGCAGGAGAAGGGGTATCGCCTGCCGCTGCTGGACTACGACAGCTTGCTGCTCTCAACGGCCAACGGCACAATGGGCAACACCATGGTCAACTACAGCTCCTTCGTCGATGACAACCACATCAGCCTTCCGTATGCTCCGCACCGTGCCATGCCCCACTCGTCGCATCGCATCCCACGCGCTGCACGCCACTCTCACTCACTCACACTTCCAAAACGCACTCTCACGCCGCCCTCTCTCAGCAACTCTCAAGCACCCCTCTCTCGGTCGCCCATCATCCCCTACACCAGCCCTTCACAATAAACGCAGCTTCCCACGTTGCTTCTCCCCTCTTTCCCCGCTTTCTCCCCCCACCAGCGTGTATCCGTACTACGTGTCACTCAAGCTGGGGTCGAGGAAGCAGGAGTTCAGCATGGCGCTCAACCTCATCATCCAAGACACCTTCGTGCCCTGCGACTGCCTGCACTGCGCCTCCATGCGCAAGGGGGTGCGTGCGTGCATGGGCTTCTGCCCTCCGCCCACCCACCCACCCGCCCACCCGCCCACCCGCCCACCCACCCACCCTCCCACCCACCCACCCACCCACCACCCATCCATCCGCCCACCCACCCACCCACCCATCCACCCGCCCACCCGCCCACCCACCCACCCACCCACCCATCCACCCACCCACCCATCCACCCACCCATCCACCCACCCACCCACCCATCCACCCACCCACCCACCCACCCACCCACCCACCCACCCACCCACCCACCCACCCACCCACCCACGCCCAACGGGGAGGGCAAGGGGGGAAACATGGTGTTGGTCTGGTAGTGTGTGAATGCACTCATGCTGCATTCCTGTTTCCGTTACAACAGCACATCCCCTTCCCTCCCCCACCACAACTCCTCTCCTTCTACTACCCCCTCTCTCTCTCTCTCTCCCTCTCCCTTCACACTGATTACACAGCACGCCGTTCCCAGCTAGCCTCACCTCACGTTCCCCTCCTTCCCCTCCCCTCGCCCCCCCTCGTCTCGCCCCTCAGACCACGAACAGCAAGCCCTTCAGCACGCTCGCCTCCACAACCCTCAAGTACATCTCCTGCAGCGACCAGCGCTGCATGACGGGCGTTGACAATGGCTACTACGGCTGCAACACGGATGGGCTCGGCAACTACCTCAACACCACGGGCCTGCTGCCTGGGGACGACGCTCTCTGCGTGTACAATGCAAACGATGGAGCCTACGACTACTACGAAGCAGACTATAATACGGGATCGTACCTTCAGTCGGTGGGGCATGTGGTGGAGGACACCCTCTACCTCACTGCACCTGATGGTACCGAAGTCAACCGATCCATCGTTTTTGGGTGAGTCTTTCCTTGTATTTGGCCATAATCTCTCCCGTGCTTCCTCCCGCACTGCATTATCCTCTCCTTTGTTCTGTCCCTCACCTCCCTCTCTCTGCCGCCCCCCATTGCCTCCCCAGTTGTGGAGTGAACCAGCAGGGCTACTGGGGCATGCAGGGGTGGCAGTACGGCTCGTGGGCAGCAGGAGGCGTGTTGGGGCTGGGGTGGAACAGCCCCTTCCTCTGGCAACTCACCGGCATTAATGACCCAAGCGCCTTCGCGGTGTGCCTCGAGGCCACCCCCACGAACAATACGGGGTGGGATGGCAAGGTGCCGCTGCAGACAGGCAGCAGCCATCTCACCATCGGAGCCACCGGCCTCCCTGCCGGCGCCAACTACTCCAATATGTAACCCCCCTGCACCTGCTCCACACGACACCCTCCCGCGCTCCCTCGGTCCCTCGTGCTTTCGTGCCCCCTTGTTCTCTCGCAACCTCTCGTGCCCATCCATCCGTCCATCCATCCATCCATCCATCCATCCATCCATCCATCCATCCATCCATCCATCCATCCATCCATCCATCCATCCATCCATCCATCCATCCATCCATCCATCCATCCATCCATCCATCCATCCATCCATCCATCCACCCACCCACCCACCCACCCACCCACCCACCCACCCACCCACCCACCCACCCACCCACCCACCCACCCACCCACCCACCCACCCACCCACCCACCCACCCACCCACCCACCCACCCACCCACCCACCCACCCACCCACCCACCCACCCACCCACCCGTCCATCCCTCCCTCCGTCCATCCCTCCCTCCGTCCATCCATCCGTCCTTCCGTCCGTCCATCCATCCATCCATCCATCCATCCATCCATCCATCCATCCATCCATCCATCCATCCGTCCGTCCATCCGTCCGTCCGTCCGTCCGTCCGTCCATCCGTCCATCCGTCCATCCGTCCATCCGTCCATCCGTCCGTCCGTCCGTCCGTCCGTCCGTCCGTCCGTCCGTCCGTCCGTCCATCCGTCCGTCCGTCCATCCATCCATCCATCCATCCATCCATCCATCCATCCATCCATCCATCCATCCATCCATCCATCCATCCATCCATCCATCCACCCACCCACCCACCCGTCCATCCGTCCGTCCGTCCGTCCGTCCATCCATCCATCCATCCATCCATCCATCCATCCATCCATCCATCCATCCATCCATCCATCCATCCATCCATCCATCCATCCATCCGTCCGTCCGTCCGTCCGTCCGTCCGTCCGTCCGTCCGTCCGTCCATCCATCCATCCGCCCATCCACCCGCCCATCCACCCGCCCATCCACCCGCCCATCCACCCATCCATCCATCCATCCACCCATCCATCCACCCATCCACCCATCCACGTCTTCCCCTCCACCCATGTGCAATCCCTCCTCCTCCAGGTCATATGAGTTCGGTGTGCAATACACCCAGATCACAATAAGCAACGCCACGCACACCCTCCACATCAAAGACCAAGGCTGGGTAGACCCCGACCTGCCTGTTGACTTCCCTAAGAACGCCACGCCGGGCTTCTTCTTCATGCCCGAGTCCTTCGTGCATCTCCTGCGCTACCCTCTCTTCATGGATCTTCTCGAGAAGGTATGTTCGCTTCCGCCTCTCTCTCTCTCTCCCTGTCTGCTTGTCTCAGAGCCCGTCTGTCTGACTCGAGGCCGTGTGAAGCTTGGCCAAGCCCGCATGATTGGCATTCTGTTGTGAGCTGCTTGTCTCATGTTGGCTGCTACGACGACTGGGAGGCTCTTGCTCTGTTTGACTCTTAAGAGCTCCCCACATGCAAGACGCGTTGTTTCAATTCACTGAGAAGACACATGACCACTTGAGTGTCTGTATGAGGAAGCCAAATTACAGCTCGTCAGAAGATGGGCTTGTTCCTTGTTGCTCGAACCACTGAGATTGAGTGACACCATTCTCACGGTGACAGCAATCTTGTTTCACAAATACGCACACATTATATGCACATATGTGGCTTGAAAATGAGCTGGATGTACTAGGCTGTAGTGCAACAGGGCTTGCTGGAAATGCATGTTTCGTCCATGAGAGAGCGCCCCTCTTAGGCTACTCATGTGCCAGATTCCTTGTGCACGTAACCACTTCTCATTGTTCCCTTTTACGCTGTGCATCTGCATGTGCATGTGCATGTGCATGTGCATCTGCATCTGCATGTGCATGTGCATGTGCATGTGCATGTGCATGTGCATCTGCATGTGCATGTGCATGTGTATGTGCATTTGCATCTGCATGTGCATCTACTTCTGCTAATTCCAGCTCGCAGACATGACAGGGCAAGATTTAACCGTTTATGGATATGCCAAGGACATGTATCGGCTCGTATGCTTCAAGTAAGCTTTCCGCCTTCATTGCATGAACCCCATTGATTTGAGATGAGTTCAGAGAGAGCACCTTTCAGCTCTTGCCAATCCCTCCGCTCGTGTCCATCCTTCAAAGTGCCACCTCCATGCACGTACCACACACAACGCACCACCTCTCTGCTCCCCCGCAACTGCTCCTTGATTTGAATGGAGGCTGAGCACACGTGGCTGCTACCTACCACAAGGTGAGCCATTCTGATCCAATCCAGCCTCTACGGAAGGGAGCCTCATATGGCGCTCTGAGGTTTCAAGTCAAGTGCATCACCTGCCGCAGCCCAACCCAGACCACGTCAGGTGAGCCAACAGTCGGTGCTTGGCTGAAAGTGGGCAGTGTGCTGGATCCACTGCCGTGCACATCCACTGCCGTGCACATCCACTGCCGTGCACATCCACTGCCAGGAGATGGAAGGTGCCTGCCATGGCCTGGTGACGTGATGAATGAAGTGCTTTGAGACGTCTCAGAACACTTCTACCCGTACATATCCACACCCAGAAGAAGGAAGGTGTCATGGCCTGTTCCGTCCGTTCTCGCATACCTTTAGTCTGTGAACCATTCGGTAGGGCCTGTTAAATTGGATGACACGCAGGCTGACCAGGCGACGGGTGTTTAGCTCAGGAGCCCAGCGCCGCCGCCAATGTAACAAGGTAACCAGCATTAGTCAGCAGCCAGTAACCTAGTCAACCCAACGTACTGGCCACCCAGTAGTGTTGGGCTGTGATAGTCCAATCCAAAGAGGCATCGGCTCATACGCACTTCGCCGTTTCCTGCGCATGCACCTCTTTTTTTTGGGCATGAGTAGTTAATACGGCTTTCTGACTCTTGCTCTCCAATCGGTCCTCTGACCTTCTCCCTCTCCCCGCTTGCTCTTAACGATGCTCCTCTAACAGCAACAAGAACAAGGCAGAGGATCCGTTCACCACCTTCCCCACCATCAACATTGCTATCCCCTCTTCAGACAACACCAGCGCCACCTCGCACTTCTATCTCAAGCCGCGCGAGTACCTCGCCCAGGTCAGCATCCCTGTGATTCGCAGCCTCTCCTCTCTCTCAGTACCTCGCCCTGGTATAGCACGCCTTGTCGTCATTCAATCACGGGCTCATCTCATAGCAGTAGCCCGCCCAGGGAAAACAGAAACTTGTTCTGGAGAACTTGTCAGCAGCCTCGTTTTCCGCTTATCTCCGTTCATCCAAACACATGCCATGCCAGAGCAGGATGATGGATGGAGACTGTGTTGCAGTTTCAGCTGCCACCAACATGTGCTTATCAAGCAGTCCCGGACCCTCCCAATCCAATGCGTGCCCCTCCCAATCCAATTCACACTCCTCCCAACCCAATGCTCCCCCCTCCACTACTACCATGCCTATGCCTGCCCCTCCCATCCCTCCACTAATCCATCAGCTGTTCAGCAGTACTTGACTCAACCCCGAAATCCTCCATCCGAAATCAGCTATTCTCTCTCCTCTCTCCTCTCCTCTCTCCTCTCCTTCCCCCTTTGCTCTCTCCTCTCCTCTCCATTCGCTTCCACCTCCTCAACTCACATTCGCGCAGTGGGGTTCTTCCCTTGCTAAGTCGCTGCCGCTTAGACTAGTTAAGAACCTCCCGTGCCACTCATCAAAGTTCTTCCCCAATCCCATGCCGCCCCACAGATTGCACCGCCTACTTACTGCGTTATGGCCACGTATCTTCCTGCCGACAGAAACTACTACAGCTACATTGGAGGTATGCTGGCCACCTACCACACATCCACACTCCTTTCTCCACCTGACCTTGTACCAGCACCCTTCCCCTTTCCCCGCCGACCGACCACTGAGCTGTGCGGCCCACCCTCTGCCATCTGCCACCGCGGGTGCAGGACCCCTATCCTGCCATACTGCCAATTTACCTGTCGTGATGACGTCTCCCACTCACTCATCACAACACGCCTACCAACCGCATTCCAGCCTAAGCAATCTGATGGGCTCGTATTGAGCACGCACAGTTGGCTGCACTGAGCGTGACTTCTGAAAATGTCTCAAAAGGCAATCCTGAACGCTGGTCATTTGAGCAAGCACTGGTTAACTGCACTGATCGTCTCTGACTTTTACCCTGGAGCCCACAAGCGAGAAGCTAGATGGGCTGAATATCATCGCTGCCCTTGTCCCCCGCCCCTCCCACTTCCCTGTCACCACACCCTTTACTTGCTGCCCTCCTCTGGGGGGGTGCATGTGGCAATGAGCAGAGCCAGGGCTGATCAACAAGTACCTCTTCCTGGACTACACCAACGAGATCGCAGGATGGATGGATGCTCCTAACTGTAAGCTGCTGCTCACCCTGCCCGCAACGCCTGCCTGCCCCTACCATTTCCCCTGCACACGCGCCCGCCTCTTGTCTCTTTCGTCCTACAGGATTTTCAACACTCTTTGCTGTGGACACCCTCCATCCTCCACCTGTGCTTGCTGTCGCTGTGGTCTTTCAAGCAGATCAATTCTAATAAGCAGAACCCTGTGGGGTGTGCTTGCTTGCCCAAGTTCTGCCACGCCACCGCTTCTCTTTCGGCCCATTCTTCAATATTTTCTGTCGCTTGCTTCTTGTTCCCTTTCCCCTCACTTGCGTCACACCCCTTTCTGACACTTCACTCTCCTCTCCTCTCCTCTCCTCTCCTCTCCTCTCCTCTTCTCTCCTCTCCTCTCCTCTCCTCTCCTCTCCTCACTTACCTCCCCATCCTCTCAACAGGTGGAGCTGAGCCCCTGCTGCCGCCACCCTCCCCTCCTCCACCTCCCTCACCTGTTTCTAAAGGGGCCACTCGCTCTCTCTCCCTAGTGGCGGCAGCTCTGTCAGCTGTTGTTGTCCTTGTCACCTCTGCCGCCCTGCTTGCTCTTGGTCTCCTGTAGAGTCGAGTTCCTCCCTGTAGGCTTTTGAGCCTGAGTCTTGACTCAGGAGCATGCATTCTGGTTTGCTACAGTGTTGCCTGCTATAGCCTTCGTTGTTGCCTCCTTTGAAGGCTGAACGCTGTATTTATGAAATTGTCTACCGGTCATCAGGTGGCATATATTTATAAGACCCGGGTCTTATCATTAGGAAATGTATATTACTTGTGTTTTGGAAGCCAGACATGTGAACAGTATGTGCTCCGTTTTTAGCATTCAAAAGAAGTAGGGTACTGAAGTGAACTCCGCGACCGTCGAATGCACGTCGTCACCCAACAATCACCCTGGGTGCCTTCTCCCATTGCTCCCAAAACGTGGTTACCGCATCACAATCTTGCGGGACCCAGCGCACCAATGCCTTGTGACCAGCTGTTACCCCTCCTTAACGAACACGTTATGGGATTTGTTGTGAAAAACGGTAGAAAAACTATCAGAATTTCATTCCTTGGCTATAAAATGACCGGGTCTCTAGGGGGAGGGGGGGTCTTATAATGCTAGCCCCCATTTAAGGAGATATAACTACAAACGACCTATTTAGCGTAACCCCCTCGGTATTATAGACCCGGGGGCAGGGCCTCAGATTCGTTTTGGCCTAGGCTGAAAAAATCAGAGTGGCAAAACGTTTTGCTGAAAAGCAGATCTAGTAAATCAGATCCATTTTACACCACAAATCTAGTAAATTTTCTTGTTTATTGTCAACAAATTGCTGACTTCAGTTTCAGTTCTAAAAAAGGTATGAAATCTCAGCCTTTTTTACCTAAATCAGCCTTTTTTCGCTGACTTCTGAGGCCCTGCCCGGGGGTCTACAACGGAAAAATGATTGACTAACAGGAATGACTGTTGAAATCAGAACGTGAGGATGACTAAAATGAGGACAGTACAGGATTGTATAGCTAGCCCGAATTGAGGTTGAACCCCTTAAAGAGTACCCCACTATAGCCTAGCAAGTAAAATTATAATTTGACACACCCCCATAGGCTAAGTGGGGGACAATCAGATGGTCACAAGACCAGTCAAGAAAAGCAAACAAAGCAAAGCTCAAGGTGAATCTCAAAGACACCACACACTCTGAGCACAAGCAAGCGACCACAAGGCCGGTTCACACGGAGAGTTATAATAGCAAGGCAGTACACTGATCACAACCTAGCAAGGGTATACATGCATGTATAAGTATATGTAGCAGTGTACAACAAGTGCAAGGCAAGATCAAGAGACAAGCAGGTGAAGCAGAGTGGGCAGAAGCCCAAGAGCAGTGCAGAAACGCTGATGATCACCAGACCCAAGGGCCTTGGTGAAGACATCAGCAGTGTTGGCCCGAGAGGCCACGTAGGAAAGGCGAAGCTGACCACGCTGCTGCAGCTCTCGAGCAAGGAAGTAGCGAAGAGCAATGTGCTTCGTCTGTGCTCCAGTCTCTGCTCGTGACACAAGGCAATCATGGCCTTGTTGTCGACGTACAGAACTGGAGGAGAACGAGGCCGCTCCCCCAAGTCTGTCAGCAGGTAGGTCAGCCAGCGTAGCTCCTGTGCAGCCATAGCCCCAGCGTAGATCTCGGCCTCACAGCTGGATCCAAGCATAGAAGACGAACGAATGGACCTCCACGAGACAGAACCAGAGCCGAGACTGAAGGTGTAACCCTGTGACGACCGCTGAGTCGCCTGGTCGTCGGCCCAGGAAGCGTCTGAGTGACCTGTGAGTACCACTGAGTCCCGTCCTCCAAGCGCAAGCCCGATGCCCGATGTACTACACAAGTAACACAGTACCCTCTTAGCAGCTTCCCAGTGCACCTTTCGGTGTCTACCGGGAGCCACGTAGCGAGCCAGGAGGCTGAGAGGGTACGCGAGGTCAGGTCGTGTGCATGTCATCAGGTACATGAGGCTACCCACAAGCTCTGGATACGGACCACTCGGCTCTACGGACTTGTCCGAAGGTGGAGCTGAGAGCGAGTGGCCTGTAGGCAGAGGAGTGGGCTGTGGCGAGGACCACGTGAAACTGAAGCGCTGAAGGACCTGGTGCACCATGTGTGAATGAGTTAGGGTGATGGTGCGCCGTGCTCTGTCTCGGGTGATCTGCAAGCCAAGATAGCTCCGCAGCTAACCCAGGTCAGTGCAAGTGTGTCTCTTCTGTAGCTCCGACTTCACAAGGGTCAGTGCCTCAGTATCAGCAGTAGCAAAGACCAAGTCGTCGACGTACACAAGGATGTAGAACGCCGGCAGAGAAGTGTCAGTGCGCAGAAACAACGACGGGTCAGCGGTCGAGGGAGCAAAACCAAGAGCCGCAAGTGTCGTCCTCAGTGTGTCGTGCCACTCGCGGGGTGCCTGGCGCAAGCCGCAGACTGGCCGCCGTAGGCTCCACTGGGTACCCTCAGGAAACGACCCAGTGAAGCCAGGTGGGCGGCGCAGCCAGATGGCCTCGTGAAGGCTACCCTGCAAGAAGGTTGTCGAGAAGTCGAGGGAGTGCAGCTCGTAGTCACGCTGTGCTGCAACGTGCAGTAACACCCGGAGATTGGTCATCTTCGGGGTAGGGGAGAAGGTCTGAAAGAAGTCGACCCCCTGACGCTGACTGAAGCCTCGAGAAACGTAGCGCGCCTTGAAGGCATGCGGAGAACCCGGTGGCCGCTTCACCCTGAAGATCCACATGCCATCAACAATGTTCGCCCCAGGAGGGGGAACCTCGTCAACGTAGGTGCCTGTGGGCTTCCAGGAAGCCATCTCTGCGTCCATGGATGTCTGCCACTAAGAGGAGTACTCACCCAAGATCGCCTCTGCGTGAGAGCGCGGGGTAGGGATGTCTAGTGCATCCGCGTCTCCCTCAGGGCAAAGCAGCATGGCAGCGAGATGCGGTGAAGCAGCCGCTAGGTACTCAAGCTCAAACTGCCTGTCCTCAAGAACGTCACAGCCAAGGGCAGTCTCACCCCCGACGGACAGAGGACATTCAGAGCCAGAAACAAGACTCGCAGCGTAGTCAGGGCGGCACATAGCAGCAAAGTCAACAAGCTCAGCTACCAAGGCAGTCGCGGCAGGGGGCGAAAACGTAGGGTCGGCCACACACGTGGCAAGAAAACGAGTAACAGTCGGACTGGCAGCACAAACAAGGTCAGACTCAGGGTCAGGGACGTGAGGAAGAAAAGACGCAGGAGGTGACGGCAGGACAACACGCTGTGGAACAGAGGAAGGACGGAGTGCCATAACCTGAGTGCCTGGGACAGCCGGAGCACGAAGACAGGCAACACGACGAGCACGAACAGGTGTGGAAGCACGAGTCTCAGGCTCATGACGCTCAGTCAGGGACTCAGTCACCTCTGTGTGAGGAGCAGGAGCAGGCAGCGGGGAGCCAGGCAGTAGCTGTGGCTGAGACTGGTCTGTTGGTGGGAACAGTAACGGAGGAGTAGTACCAGCTACAGGGAAGTCAGTGGCAGCTGGCGGGAGACCGAGAAGGTGGCGAAGCGCACCAGTAGCTCCAGTACCTCCAGCACCAGCAGCACCTCCAGGACCTCCAGCACTAGCAGCAGCAGCACCTCCAGCACCAGCAGCTCCAGCACCTCCAGCACCAGCAGCACCTCCACCAGCAGCACCTCCACAGCAGCTCCAGCACCTCCAGCACCAGCAGCACCTCGAGCACCTCCAGCACCAACAGCAGCAGCACCTCCTGCACTAGCACCTCTAGCACCTCCAGCACCAGCAGCACCTCTAACACCTCCAGCACTAGCAGCACCCGCACCTCCAGCACCAGCAGCACCTCCAGTACCTCCAGCACCAACAGCACCTCCAACACCAGCAGCTCCAGTACCTCCGGTATGTCGCGTATAGTCGTCGACGACCAGCAGGAAGTAGCACTCCCGACCCGGGAGAACAGTGGTGCCACGTGCATCGACTGGGCCGCCTGTGGGGTCGACCAGCGTGACAGGGGCAGGTGCTGTGAGTGGTGTGACTGTGGTGCAGTCGCGGAAGAAGCAGCGAGACGCGCCGGAATCCAGCTTGAAGGTGTGCAAAGCCTCCGTTGGAACTGCACCTGTGCTAGCGGACTTGCAGGCACCTACACTAGCAGCCTCTACACTACCAGGGACGCCTCGCTGGGAAACCCACTCACGAAGCTGCTGCAGCGACAGGGTCTCCTGCTGACGCTGCTGCCGCTGCTGCCTACCCCCAGAACCTCCGCCTCTACCAGTTGCACCACCTGTGCGAGCCGACTCACATGCGTCTACACTCGCCTCCTCGACCAGCTGCTACCACTCCCAGAACAACGGACGCCGCCGCGCTGTGGCTGGGTGGCAGGAGAGAGGGAGGAGTAGTGCCTAACGACAGCGTTGTAGAAAGTCTAGGCCGACGTCACCTAACGAAAATGGGCCCTCTGGTCGAACGGCAGGTGATTGCGGACTGCAAGCTCGGCGACAGCGTCGCGCTCTGTCCACTGTGTGCAGGCAACGCGGTCTGCCCGGTACCGCCACTGCACATCCTCGCCAGCGTCAACAACAGGCTCAGTGGGAGTCGTGGGGTCCTAAAGGGACCTCGACGTGTGCTCGAACAGGGAGACGCCAGCTCTAATGAAACGCTGGAGATACAGGCGCAGGCGCTCGAGCCACGACTATTACTCGAAAGGGTGCACGTCTGCGTCAACCGCTAGTTCGGAAATAGTGGTCATGACAGGAACTATGTCAAGCTGCAGATCTAGGCACAGACGGCGGCTCGGGATACAGTCCGGCAGAAGGTGAGCGGTAGCATGGCCTGGTACAGTAGTGGCGTAAGGGCAGCAGTAGCGGTGGTGCAAAGCACGGGTGGTAGCGGCGGCGGTGTGGCGCCTGGGTGGCAGCAGTGCACGGGCAGAGGCTGCGGCTGCAGTTGCTGTCAACAGTGGCAGTGCAAGGGCGCGGACGCGCAGGGCAGGGCAGCGCAACGGCGCAGGGGCAGGGCAGAGCGACGGGGCGGGCCAGGGCAGCGTGACTGCGTGGGCAGGGCAGCGCGACTGCG